CCCAGCACCACATGCCAGCCAGCCGCGCCCCCTGGTGGGCTGAGCTGGCCACACACACACACACACACACACACACACACACAATAAATAAATGTAAAAAAAAATTTAAAAAAATAAAAAAATCTAGTTTGGGGCCAGGGAGATGGCTCAGTGGAATAAGTGCTTCCTTGGCAAGCACAGGGTTCTGAGTTCAATCCCCGGTTCTGCCAAAAAAAAAAAAAATCTAGTTTTGTGGAGACCAGATGATCTACAAATGGTTGTTGGAATGGTGTTATTAATATTTCTACCTCTGCAATGTCAACAATTTAGTAATTCAGGTTCTCACCACTCCAGACCTAGATTCCTTCTATAATCTCCCATGTGACCTCCTTGCCTCCAACTTCATCCTTGCTATTGCATTTTTTATAGTTGTAGGTTAATTTTCCTTAAAAAAATTCTTTTTCAATTTCAGCACACCCCAGTGAAAACCTTCAGAGTTCTCTGTTATTCTCCAGACAAAACCCCCACTCCTGAGTCAGCACTGCCAGGACTCTCTTCCTGATTGGGCCTTTTTATCCCAGAGCTTCCTCAATCCTTCCTCCTTACTGTCCTATAAACACAATATGTGTATTTTTTTGAGGGGTAGATTTGGGTGTCTTTCCTAAAATGCCCTTCCTTAAACTTGACTTAACCAGCCCCATTCTGATCTCTCCTCGCCTTTTCAGTTGCTGAGCATATAAGAGGTGTGCAGTCAGAATTTACTGAATTAAGGACAGATGCTCCTCTACTCTTTTTCACCAAAAGTTTGCTTAGGGAAGGGGTGGGGAGATAAAGCAGATCATTACTAAGAGAAGAATTACTGAGGGTACAGCCTTGGCAAGAGAGGAAGACATAAGGGAGATTATTGATGGGGACAGGGGCTGACAAGCCCCCACTTCTGGGGGGGACAGCAAGGAACCCTTCCTTAACTAAGGTAGTGGTTATCCTGTCTTTTGGGATGAGTAGGTAAACCAGGAACAGAGGTAGAAGGTAACAAACTTGTTATTACTGGGGATGGGGCATGATTTATTAAGCTGAGAAGAGGGTGGTCTTTGTAGAAGGACTAGAGAAGATAGTGGATGAGGATGGTGCAGCCATCTCATGACACAACTCCTAATGGGCTAAAAGCGGTATGATGTATCATCCATAGGATCTATGGGGACGGATGGATATCCTCTGGGGTTAAGAAGAAAGGGATGCCATTGAAGGAGACTCACTGAAGTGAGAGCAGGCTGATTTTTGCTAAAAGGGAGCACTTTAGGATTGATGGTAGAGTGTCTTATCTATTATGGGCAGCAGAATGGGGCTGAAAACCTTCAGGACAAAAGGGATGGAGAAGCCATTCCCAGAAGCCACAGAGGACAAAATCTGTTATCTCCTGCCCCACCAGAGCAGAGCATTCTTCTTTTTAGCTAAGCAGAAGGAACAAAATCTCCTGGTGTGAAAGGAGTAGGGGAAGCCATCACTTGGGGCTTAAGGTCTGGGGAGCAAATCTGTCTTCGCTGAAGGACCTCAGCGACCATTCCCAGTTGATGAGAAGGAAGCAGTCTGTTCCCCACTGTCAGTGGAACGACCATCCTAAGGGTCCAATCGGGTAATATCGGTTACCCTTCTGGGTCCATGGGATTTAAAGAATATCTTCCACATTTGAGGGGTAAAAGGATGGCCATCTCAAGAAAAGGGGTAGGCAGGAGGTCTGTCCTTGTGAAGTGACAGTGTTGCCATCTCCTGGGGCCGATGGGGAAAAAGGATGGCTCCCCAAGCTAACGGGACAGAATGGCCCAAAAGCGGGCCGTTACCCAGACCTTGCAGGTCCTGGGATCCGCCCGGCGGGTCGTTTCCGCCAGGCGAGAGCGGAGGGGCAAGCTAACAGCCCCTCCCCAAAGTGCGGGACGTCGAGGGCGGGACCTGTCCAGAGCTAAGCCTGAGGACAGCTTCCTCTCACCTCCAGGGGCAGCGACTCCGCCATCTCATCCCTGCAGTCTCCGCCCCCGCGCAAGGCTTTCTGGGAGGTGTAGTCCCACTCGTTCTGCAGGCGGTGCTTAAAAAGGAAGTAGCTCTGACTTCCGTCCAAGAAACTGACGACTTTGGTCTGCACCGGAAGTGCATGGTCTGCCGATGTGGTTCCTACTGACTGTGGTTTCAGTAGCTTGCCCTCGTTTCCCCTGCTGGTTATTTGCGTCGTATAATGGCGGTAAGTAGGGTAGGGTGCCCATCAGAAAATCGCTCTAGGCTGAGGCAGTAAAAACAGTCGAAGGAGAGCAGGGGATGTAGGGTTGGCCAGAGGGAGGCGCTATCCAGTGGCCAGACTACAGCACGCTGGATCTGGGGATGGGCAGGAGGTGGTGGCGCAGGACCTTACAAGAACTACTTCTAGAGGAAAGGTGGGCATCACTTGTAGATATGAACTGCCGCAGCAGAGGCTGCAGAGGGAGTTATTTAACACCACGCAAACAGTGCCCCTGGAGGGGTTGGCAGCCCAAAGCTGAACCTTAGCAGGCTAGCTAGAAGAGGTGTTAGGCTAGGGTTGATTGTTTTCTGAGCCAGGAGGAAGCGATCATAGGTGGAGGTGCTCTGAAGATGGTGTCAGCTCTCGACCGGATGGGCTGGAGGAGGGGTGGACATCCTAGGGACTGTACGAGATTTGAGTACCTAACCAGGCTGGTTTGGAAAGTGAGGATTTTTTTTGAGAAGAGACCTGACGGCATCTCATCATCCCTCTGCAGCCCAAGGGCAAAGTGGGCACAAGAGGGAAGAAGCAGATATTTGAAGAGAACAAAGAGACCCTGAAGTTCTACCTGCGAATCATTCTGGGGGCCAATGTAAGTACCAGTCTCCTTTCTTCTGTGCCCACTTAGTCCCGCAACTCCTAGATCTATTTGGTGAGGGTTAGTGGTACCAGCCAAGGCACCAAAAAGAGAGACTGTAGGGGAGTGGCTCAAGGGTAGACCACTCAGCTAGCATGTGTGAGGAATTAGCCCCCATCACTGAAAAATCCCAACCAGCCAACAACAAAAACCCCAGAAGGGATCAGTGCACATAGAAAGTGCTGAGTAGTAAAAGCAAAATCAAAAAGCAATGGAGTGAGTCCCAGCTGGATTTCACAGCCCTTTCTACCCCAGATACACAAAGGCTTTATTCTTAGGCTGATTATTTGTGTATCAGCAGAGTATGAGTACTTGGACTCAGAAAGCAGGACTCTTACTAATCCTGTAAGAAAAGTCTAGCACCTCCTAAAACCTTGTCTGATTCTTGGTCAGAGTTGAGGGAAGCCCTTGGTTTGGGAGTAGTATTTGTTCCCCAACCCGATCCTGTGTTTGCTTGTAGGCCATTTACTGCCTTGTGACCTTGGTTTTCTTCTACTCATCTGCCTCATTTTGGGCCTGGGTAAGTGTCCCCATTTTGGAAAGTGGGTGAGTGTATAGGGTCAATGGCTGGTTTTTTAAATTTTGTTTTTTAGGGGTCTACAGGCAGTCTTACTACTAGATCAGACTCATAGTGATTCTCCCGTTTACAGCCTCCCAAGTGCTGGGATTACAGGCATGCGCCTCCAGGCCCAGTCTCAGTTGCTGTCTCAGCTCACTCCAGGGGCAAGGCCAACACAGCAGGCTCAGAGATCAAATCCCCAGCCCCTGTACCTGCTTGCAGATGCTTTAATCCACTGAGCTATTTGACTGGCCCTCAATGGCTTTTTTTGGCAGAACGGGGGATTGAACTCAGGCCCTTGTGCTTGCCAGGAAAGCATTTATTCTATTGAGCCATCTCACTGGCCAATGGCTGGTTTTTGATGCTTGTATTCTTGCTCTGCAGGTTGCCCTGGCCTTTAGTTTGGCAGTATATGGGGCTAGCTACCACTCTATGTGCTCGATGGCTCGTGCAGCCTTCTCTGAGGATGGATCCTTGATGGATGGTGGCATGGACCTCAACATGGAGCAGGGAATGGCAGAGTGAGTGTCCCCCACCGCCAGCCCAGGTGAGCGGGCCTCAGGGCTGGGGCACTGGGGCCCAGAGAGCCCAAGACCCACAACCTGTAACTTGAAGGGAGTAGGAGGGAACTGAACAGGGACCCATCCACTGCCTTTATAGCATCCCTTCTATCCATAGGCACCTCAAGGATGTGATCCTACTGACAGCCATTGTGCAGGTGCTCAGCTGCTTCTCGCTCTACATCTGGACCTTCTGGCTTCTGGTGCGTGGGCTGGGATTCCTAAGAGCGAGCCACTATCCTCAACCTTTATTCTTTGCACTAGACTTTGTTATCTTCTCTTTTCTAGGCTCCAGGCCGGGCCCTTTACCTCCTATGGGTGAATGTGCTGGGCCCTTGGTTCACAGCAGACAGTGGCACCCCAGCACCAGAGCACAATGAAAAACGGCAGCGCCGACAGGAGCGGCGGCAGATGAAGCGGTTGTAGTCATTAATATTGTGGCCATAGGTTGCTGGGTGACTATCAGGCTGCATGTCCTCTGTGCCTGGAGCAGTGAGTGCCTAGTCCAGGGCCAAAAGTAGCCCAAGGTAGAGGATTGTTGAATAAATGTTTTAGAATGTGGCTAATGGTTGTCTGGGTGATAATAAGGACAAAGCAGGAAGAACCAGTCCTATGGTATACACGTGGGGGTAGGAGTGTTGAAAGAGGAAAAAAGAATTGGGTGTGGTGTATGGGAGCCTGAAGTAGGGGGATTGCAAGTTCAATCTCATCCTGGGCAATTTAGCCTCGATGTGAAAAAAGGGCTAGGGATGTAGCTTAGCACAAAGTCCATGGGGTCTATTCCCAGTACCCCTCCCCCACCAAATTGAGGAAAAAGACTTTTTTTGCAGAACCGGGGATTGAACTCAGGCCCTTGAGCTTGCCAGGCAAGCGTTTATTCTACTGAGTTATTGCCCCAGCCCCCCAAAAGACTCTTAGATTAGCTAAGAAAACTTTATTTTACTCCCTGAGCAGGGAGCTCACATACACTCATGTACAAACATACACACACTCGCCCTAATACTGCTAAAAGCACTGGCCCCTAGGCACAGTGTTCAGGGACCAGAATTCTGTTCTGGGTCCTCTTCGCTCTAGTCTCTTACACTACAGGCTTGCATGTAGATGGCTTCCTGGAGGCAGCACCCTCACACCTCCAGTCCAGGGGTCTTGCTCAGTCCTAGTGCCTGCACCAGGTCATCTCCAAGCCCACTCTTCAATGTTCGTCTCACTGCAGAGACAGAATAGGGTTGGAGAGGGTTGAGGAGTTAAGATGGGCAGTAGGCTTATGGAACATACTTACAAGACTTTCGGTTGCCACGGGAACGCTTCCTTTCCCGAGTAGCTAAGGCTCGAGGACTGTTCTTAGTTACTGATTGCACTAACAGGTCCATGATCTCATCTGATGTATCGCTGGGTAAACTTGAGCCTGGGGTTTCATCAGGCAGTGCAGTGGAGGGCCCCACTGTTATGGGCATGGTTGAAGAGCTGCTCTGGACCATGCCTGAGGGAGACCAGGTAGGGAGGTCAGGCCAGTGTGGTGTAGGACGCATTTCCCCCCAGCAGCTATGGGTTCTACCTCTGCTGCGGCGGCTGTGTGTAGTGTCCTCCGTCCTGTTGGTCAGTAGACTCTTCATACTGGCATGACTGTTGGCATCACCCTGGCCTGGCCCACTCCCCACAGCCACTGGGACAGATGGATTGTTGGGGACTTCCCCAGTCACACCTGAGAACTTCTCTGTCTGGAGAAGGGACAAGGGTGAGTAGGGGAAAAGAACCATGGGAGTGGCAGTTGTAATTTGGAAGGATCGGGATCCACCTCAGTGATCATGCGTCCCCGGGTCTTGTTACGTTCACGGTAAGTGGCCCGCTTCTTCTGTTGCTGCAGTACCCGTTCCCAGCAAGTCCGATACTCAAGTGCAAACTCTCGCAGAATGTGGCAGAATTGCATGATGCGTACTTCACGAGCTGCCTGTGCAGTGTAACCCAGGTAGAGCAGGAAGCCGTGGAACCTAGGCAGGTTGGAATGGGAAGGGACGTGGAGCCCTGCTTGGTGTTTGAGGAATGGTGGCGGCAGTCCTACCTCTCCCTGCTTCACACCCCTACCTGTTGTAGACACGCCGGTGCACTACCTTCAGCATGGCAACACGACGGGAGCACTGGGCCAGGAAGTGGGTGAGGCGGGCACGCAGGGCTGGAGCCAGCTCATGCTTGGCCAAGCTCCGTAAGCTTTCCTCTGCCGTCCGGCTCCGGCGCTCCAGCTGCCCCAGGTTCTCACTCAACTGCTCAAAGTCTACCTGGAAAAACAAGTGAGGGCCTGGGCCTGGTGGTACTTGCCTGTAATTGTAGCACTTAGGAGCCTGAAGCAAGAATATTGCAACTTCAAAGACACCTAGGGCTACAGAACAAGTTCAAGGCCAGTTGGACAACACAGTGAGACCCTGTCTAAAAACAACCAAATAGTACATGTGTTATCCTACCATAGGTTGAGACACAGCCTGAGGCTGCTTCTGTGCCAAGCTGGCCAGCCTTGGCCTTAGAGACATGGCTTGAGATTTTGCCTCTGTTCTATAAAGCCACATAATCTAATGCAAAAAGTCCATTTAATTTACAAGAAACAGACAAGACTTGTTGAAGGTAGTAGCAGATAAACAGACCCAAAGACAGTAGGTATGGCCAAGACAAGAAAAAATAGTAGTTCACCCACCTATAGTAGCACACCCTGCCATAGCAGCTCAAATAAGTAGGAAGACCCAGATCCAGAAAATAGTGTACACCATGCCACAACCAATCTCAGTCTGATCTCTGGTTGATGCTAACCTTGGCACAGCGGGTCAGGGCAGGGATCTCTGAGTAGAGGTCGGAGGAATCAGGCCGGGTCTGGAGTACCAGACAGCAGAGATGGTACAGCAGTGACTGCCGGCGCACCGTGTCCTTCACCTCTGACACCTTCTCCAGGTAGCTCAATTCAAAGCCACTGCTCTAAAAGAACACTCTCTGAGCTTGAGCCTGGATAGTTCCAGAGCCCTGACTCCATCCAGCCTGTGTACCCTCACTCACCTGGGACCCATTGAGGAAGTTGCCCACAGCCAGCAAGGTAGCCAGGATGCATCGGAAGGTGGTGTTCTGTACCAGCTGTTCCATGCCCACTTTTAGGTCAAACAGTGGCTCTGCAATTTCCTGGTATGGGGGACCAGGTGCCCTCAGATTACACAGTTATCACTGTTTGCCCATCCATTCTGCCTTTCCCACTCCGTGACCCAGATACCCGTTCCATGCTGTCATAGTCCAGCTTGAAGGCCCAGAGTTGTAGGCGGGCAGCCAGGCCCCCGATGGAAGCAAGAGTCATCAGGAAATTCTCAGCTGGGCCCAGGGGCACATCAGGGTTGGCTAGCTGGGCTTCCTGGATTTTCTGCTTTTCCTCCTCCGTGGGCATCATGGTCAGTAGCTTCTGAGGATGCAGCCATCACCCCACATAGATCCCTCAGTTGTAGGCCTGAGAATTTTGGCCCCAACTCTTAGGACATCAGGGGAGTCCAAGGGCCTGGTGAATGCCCTGTCGAGCCCATGGTCACTACTGGAGGATTTGGAAATGCCCACTGACCAAGGAGGAAGGCCAGTCCTCCCACCTCCTCTCACACACATAGGGTATCTTTACCTCAATGCCATCCTTGCTGACAGCAAATTCATCAAAGTTGAGCAGGGCAGCCTTAATAACATGCACAGGTGGCAAAGTGGTTAGGCCAATGTTGATGGCATTGCTGCGCTTGGGGTCCAGTACTACGGTCATTGTCCGGCGGCCCTCACCAGCTTTCTGCAAGATTTGAGGAAGAACTGTCAGATTGGGAGGACTAGCTGGGGCAACAATTGAAGAGGGCACTCCAACATCCTTTAAAATATCTTAATGAGGGCCTGGGTTTGATCCCTGGTACCACATGGCTTGCAGGCGTGCTGGCCACCAAAACCAGATGTGGATTACACAGGCGTGTGTAATCCCAGCGCTGGTGGGGGGGGGGGCTGAGATGGGAGGGTCACTGAGTAAGCTGAGCTGCATAGCAAGACCCAGTACCAAATAGAGATTTTTTTTTTTTTTTTTTTTTTTGAACAGGGGATTGAACTCAGGCCCTTGCACTTGCCAGGGAAGCGCTTATTCCACTGAGCCATCTCCCCAGCCCCAAGATTTTTTAAAAATTAAATGGCTTAATGATCCCATAGCTGGCAACTGGAGACTGGGAGAAGCTGATTCTAGAGAAAGCCCTGCCAATTCCTTGATTGACTGATTGATTTTCGAGACAGTTCTCTATGCAGTTTAGGCTGAACTGTCTTTATTGCCCAGGCTGGCCCTGAATTTGCAGCAGTCTTCCTGCCCGAGCTTCCCAAGTGCAAGGATTATAGGCATGTACCATCACACCCAGCTCCCAATCCCTTGACAGCCCCAAATCCCTCTCAGTTCTTTGCCTCCATTTTTCTATGTGCAAAAAGAGGGGCTAGCTTGAATAGCTCAGCTCTTTGCACTCTAATTCCCCTTGCCTTTGGGTTTACCTTGGAAGGAAGCACATCTTTCACTCGTGATTCAAAGAGGTGTTCCAGCCGTGCTTTGTCCACTGAAACAGGCTCAAGCAAGGCCCACAGAGTCGGGGAGGGCCCAAAGTGGCTTCCAGAACCCATATGACCCCCAGCTAGCTTCAGCTCCCGCCAGAAGAGTTTTACTGTCTTCTTCTTGGTGGGGTGGAGTGGGCCATCAAGTGTTGAAGGGGGAGGAGGAGGAGCAGCCAGAGGTGGAGGTGGGGGGCAGGGACCTTTGATGGATAGAGGAAGTGGGGGTGGAGGAGGTGGGGGTCCTCCACATTGCAAGGGCAGTAGAGGTGGTGGAGGTGGGATCCCTTTTCCAGCCTCCACAGACTCCACATTCAACAGGTCCTGGTCTTCATCTTCCCCCAAATCTGAGAAGTCCAGGTCTCCAATGCAGAGCTTGGATACCCGAGTAGAGATCCCCTGGATGGGCTCAGCCTTGGGGCTTGGTGGTGTCAGTGGCTCCTTGTGCTCTGGCTCAAGGCTCTGCTGGGGCTGGAGCAAGAGTCGGGAAACAGTGCTCTGGGGTGTTCTGGGTGCAGAGGCTGGCTCTGGGGAGTCCCACAGTTCCTGAGTGCCTAAAGAAAAGGAAGCAACTGTCAGCATCATTCTCTCTGTGAACATCACAGTGTATTCTGGATTCTGCCCACCTGCCTACCTACCTGGAGATCCATCTGCTTCATCTGATGTGCCCTTTGCCAGTGCCTCTGCCCGGCCCTGGGCCAGCGCAGCCTGCTTTTCTGTTTCTGCTGCTGCCATATTTTCCAAAAACCGGGCTCTGAGGGAAGGTACTTGTCAGTGACAGTGCCTGTCTCAAGTCCAGCCCAGGGAGATGCACATTCTGTTCTGGGCTCGACACTGCACTCACTATGGGCACACACAGGCACACAGTACAGTCCATGCACTGAGCAGACCCCGACCCCCTAAAGGCCAGCTTTTTTTCAATTCCTGACTTCTTTTTCAGAATGGGGGATCAAACTCAGGACCTTGTGCTTGCCAGGCAGGCACTTAAAC